ATATATATATATATATAATACATGCCGTATAATTATTTTCATAATTAAGCAAACATACTACTTGAATAAACTAATAAAAATCGTTTAAGAATGGGATGTTCCTATATTATCTGTTGTTAATTTTCAACAGCATAATATTAATTAGTATAGATTATCTTCATATTAGTATAGACTATCATATAATTAAAAGATAGATGTTTATTATCTTTAATATCTACTATCAGTATGAAATATCTAGAATACATATATGTATAGGAAAATGTAATAACTTTAAATTTTATATTGTAATTATGTTACTTTTTTGTAATTTACATACCAATTTGTAATTTCTTCCATAAGTTTTTTATACTTAATATATTATACACAAAATTATATTATTCTCAAAGACTATTCTACACACGTGTGTGTGTGTGTGTGCGTGTGTGCGCGCGCGCGCGATATATGTATATATATATATATATACTCATATATAAAAAATTCCAATTTTAAAATAATGCAAACAATGTATTGTCTGATATAAGAATTTTTACAAGATCAAAGGCTAGTATTCAGTCCGTACTTATTTTAAGACCGTCTTAAGTAATGTCTTAAGATGTGTGTGCTAATATAACCCTCTAATTAGCTTATGACATGTTAAGACTGTACTTAAGACAGTCTCTTCTTCCTTTTCGTTAAGTTTCTGGCCTGTGTTACTCATATGCTTATGGTGCGCATGGTCGGGAGAGGTTGCTGGCCTTTTCCGAGAAGAAATTACGAGCGTAAATATTTTGATTCCTACCTAGAGCGAACCCGGAACTTCTATCATGACAGACCAGTACGCTGTTTGCTATGTTATGCTCGTACTCGCGAGACTTAAGACAGATTCAAATATAAGACTATAAATATCGACCACAGAGCCATATTAGCACATTTTAAGATATTACTTAAGACGATCTTAAAATAAGAACCGTCTATGAATACCGACCGAAATAATTATATTATGTAGTTATAATATATTATAACATATCGAGATAACATTGAGCATATGACAAAAAAACAATATAGTTTTTCAAAAAAGCAATACACCAATAATTATTAACGCTTCGGCAATTTCTGCAATTTATAATAAAACTTCACCAAACGTATTCATTATATAACAATTATCAATAGTCAATGTGACATTGCTCCTCAAAACCTTTTTACAGTTCTATATTCGAAATTTTTTAAATTTATTTACGATTATTTTAGCTATGATGAATCAATTGTTTTCTTATACTAAAAAATGAATAGAAATTTGTTACACATATCGTGTGAACAAAATGCAAATTACATAGATTTCTAACAAATTATTGTGCAAACATCTTCATAATATTATTCTATATTTATCCTGTGGTCTTAATATATATGTAGTTATATTGTTTTAATATATATATATATTTTTTTTATCATCTACATATAATATTACAAACACAAGCTTACTTTTACATCTTAATTTTACAACAAATTAGTCCTTTCTGCATTTAATGCAAAAATTCTACAGCACAGCTTTATATATAGCTAATCTGTTCTGTTATTTGAAAAATAGTGTGAAGTCCATGCTATTGTGATACCTATATTTAATACTTAACGAACGTTATTCTTAACAATATAAGTTAAAATATAGCAACGAAAACTTTGCGAATTTGACCGAAGACCACTCGATCGTTGCAGTCTCTCCAATTTTCATCTAATGTAAGAAATATAAAGTGCAAATTACCTTGGAAACTTCAGCATGCTGAAGAATAAGTTTATGATAAAATATACGTCCATAGATATTCGACGATTTATGTTCTTTTTCTTTCAATCAATTTAAATTCCCTGTAGCTGTAAATAGATACGCATTGCACACATGACGAAGATACATTTCTCAGATAAAAACGGGACAGAATGTACAGTAGTGATTGTTTGCTACAGGCACAATTAGTTCAACATAATACCATCATCGTCTATATCCATCACGCTAATTGGATCCAAGGATGGCATATCGGCACTCTTGCGTATCTCACGTGATATGTTCTCCAGTGTTTCCATTTCCATTCCGACATCCTCTACTAAAGTCTTCGTAATAATCTCTTCTCGCTGCTGAACTTCAGCAGCAGCAAGATCAAATACTTCCTTCAATATCTCGGTTGCCGCATCCGCAGAGCTATTATCTGGGACATAAGTTGAATCTTCCTGTACTTCGTACTTATTATTCATTGCATTACTCTCGACTACCAACTCCTCGAGCTCCTTTAGCTCTTCTTCTAATTTCCTGTGCTTATCTGTTTGGACTGTGTCTTCTATCCCTTTTTTCGTTTCGTCGACATCGTCGCTGATTATTGTAATATCTTCAACGTCGTCTTCCATCACTTCATCGCGTGTTTCACCATTTAGAAGATCTGGCATATCTCTTACACTATTAGATTCATCAACATCTGCAATAATTTCGACTTCTGTATTTTCTTCATTGGATTTATTTTGTTGTTCTTGCAATTGTTCGATCTCTTCATCTATAGCTATTATGTCATCTAAATCATTTTTTTCATTTAATGTTTCTGTTTCATCAGTCGGCAAAATATCTGGGAGATTTTCTTCTGGCTCTTCTATATGTATCTTCGAAGACTCATCTATTAAATCGCTTTGTATTTCTGGTTCTTCTATTATTTCATCTCTATCACCATCTATGAAGTTATTTTTGCAATTTTCGTCTTGATCCTTGTTATCCTTTATTCTGTTATGATTTGATAAAATTGATAAGCTAGTTATTTCATTATCGCTCGTTGCTTCCTCATCATTATTACATTCACTAGTAGTATTTTCTTTTTCTGTGGAAGGAACTACCGTGTCATTTTTTATTTCTACATCTTTGTCTTCCTCCTCATTTTCATTCTCCACGTTCTTATGATCTTCCAGTATAGCAACAGTAGCCTCCTGTGCATCACTGTCTTTAAATTTGTCACTGCCTCTGTCTAATGTCTCATCCTCGTTCTTTGTCGTATGTTCATCCTTTATATTTTTATCTGGTCTATCTTCATCATCCCCTATCTCTATTATTGTATCGTTCGGGGTAACTGAATTTTCACATTTTTCAGATTTTGTTTTTTCAACGTTTTCATCATTTGTAGATTTTTCTTCTAAGCGCGATTCACTCGTCACTACGTCCGGTTTATCGTCTGTGTCACCACTTTCGTCACTTTTCTTTTCCTCCATTTTTTCCTTTGCATTTTTTGTATCACCTAAACTGTAGGGCTCGTCGTTAGTATTGTCTTCGATATTGACAACGGCGTCCTCCGATGGATCATCGGTACTTTTGTCGACGGATGTAGTTCTATCGGAACGTGACGTCGCTTCTTCATCTTGTGAAATGAGATCTGTTTCCTGTTTCACCTTAATATTCGCAACAGTTATCTTTTCTAGTTTTAATGCAGCTTGCTTGAAATGTGTCAATTTATGTTTCGCATTGGACAACTTAGAGTCAAATTTCTTGTTACATTTGTCACAAGTGTACTCAGTTTTAACTTCTGACTGTGGCAAAGATTTCGGGCTTTTAAATTCCATCGATGTCATTTCTGTGCTGGACATAGAAGACGATCTCGCCCTACTACGGATATTGCTTTCTTGTTCTTTTTTTGTAGGTGCAGTCGACGAACTCGTAGGTTTTAGCCTATTTTTTGAACTCTTTTTTTCTTCAATGGATGTCTCGTCGCTAGAGTCAGAACGTGCGCTTGAAGTTGTCCCTTTAGTTTTCTGTTTTTTCTTTGTATTATTTACACTCTCATTTAATTTAATTTGATCTGTCTCTTTTTGTTTCTGAGAACCTTCGGAATCAGAACTCCTATTATCCATTATTCTTTTACGTCCCCGCGTTTTCGTCAAATGTGTGCTGGACTGCTGCTCTGCATCAACTGAAATTTTTTGTTTCTGAGGACTGTCAGAATCCGAACTCCTATTATCTATTAGTCTTTTACGTCCTCGCTTTTTCATCTGTTGAGTACTGGACTGTTGCTCTGCATCAATAGACGCTTTTTGCTTTTGAGAACCTTCAGAATCCGAACTCCTATTATCTATTCTTTTACGTCCTCGCGTTTTCATCAACTGAGTACCGGGCTGTTGTTCTGTATCGATCGTCGTTTTCGGTGATTTCTCTTCGTTCGTGTTCGTGTGTTCGTTACCGACTCTTGTCACTTTCGATGGTGTACGTTCGATATCACTTCTCGATCTCACTACGTCAATTTTCCGTTTCCTTCCTCGTCTTGCTTTACCATTAACTATATGATTCCTTATTTTAGGCGAGCTACTCAAAGAACTACTTTCTTCGGAATATTTTGCTTCTTTCTGAGAATTAACCAACGATTCATTATCATCCTTATCTTTTTCCATTTCGTGTGCTTTATCTTTCTCTGTATTGTGTATCTCATTTTTCTCCATCTCGCATGCCTCGTCTTTCTCCGTCTCACGTGTTTTGTCTTTCTCCGTCTCGCGTGTTTCGTCTTTTTCCGTCTCGCGTGTTTCATCTTCCTCCGTCTCGCATGTTTTGTCTTTCTCTATCTCATGTGTTTCATCTTTCTCCTCTTTCTTAAGTGATTCATGGCTCAGTACATCTTTCAAAAAAACCGCGCATAATTTCGTTTCTGTCTTGGATTGTGTCTGGCGAGATCGTCGCTGCGACTTAGCAATACTCGGATCCATCGTTATCCAACAATTTTTGCAAACCGTTAGACCTGTGCGATAAAATCTGTACATGTCGATATCATTCGCAACAGCATTATGACACTTGTCGCAACTCCTGGCTTTCGATTTGTTGCTTCGCGGTTTCATTTGTACATTGCTCCGCGCCTTTCGTTCTTTAATGTGCCGCTTACCACGTGCCATGTCCTCCTCGTTACTATCGCTATCAGAATTTATTGAACCATAAAATGTAATATCTGGAAACGTAGTAATGGTTGTTTTGCGATTTACAACATCTGTATGTATCTGCAATCAAATAAGTATAATTATAAATATTAATATAAAAATGCCATTGAAAATAAACAAATCAACACAAAATATAATATGACAAGAAATATATAGGTACATGATTAGACAATAAAAGTGAGATTTATTTTTTCTTTTTATATTAGCAATCCTGCAGCCTGTTATCACTAACCATTTTTTATCTCAAAATCCAAATTTTATTGCAATTTTACTTTCATTACAAACAACACAAACATGTCTTTTAACTGCTATTCTAGACTGAAAGAATACAGAGCCTCATCAGTTAGAGATGGAGTAGAGAAGGGATTAAGATTTAAAATGGTTGGTGACAACAGGTTGCATGGCTAATACGAGGAAAAAATTAGCCTATTATGTTAACCCTAGCTATACACACTGGGGTTCCAGAAACCCCAGAATAATTTGCTAAATCAAGATTTTTTCGTACTTCTGAACTGAACTTTTACTTTGAACCTACAAATCTCGAAGCTTCTTAATTCTATAGACTTTTACACATTATGGACTTATTCCTTAATCAATTCTCCATAAATTGAAAAAAAAATTGATTGAAATGTCAATTTTTACGGAAGTTACAATAACAAATATGAATGGGGTCCCAGGGACCCAAGTTTGTATATCAAGGGTAGAAAAAAAGTATAAATTAGGGTTAAAGACATCTTTCATCTCGGTTAAGCTAACAGACTATTAACTCGTAGTAGTGCCAACAATTCAATGTATCACTCTCCATTTTCTCTCCTCTTTTTCGAATGTCTACTTCTACCAGTGTAGATTAACTTTAATCTTGATTTAACTCACCGAGTATCTTCTTCTGATTCTTAGAATTAAAAAAAAGGTAAAAAATAAATTAAATCGAGATTAATTTACATCGATAGAAATAGGACATAAGATAACTGTTGGCATTGCAGCAAGCTAACTATTAGTTACCTTAACTGGAGATTAGTAAAAAGAGGCCCTTATGTTTACTTCTATCAATATAGATTAAGTTTAATCTCGGTTTAATTTATCCTTTATCCTTTTCTAATTATTAGAACTAGAAAAAGATGAAAAATAGGTTAAACTACGACTAAAGTTAAATCTACAAATAGAAACAAACATTATTGTCTGACTGTGTACATAATTCATTATAATTCGCAATAATTTGTTATTACCTTTGGATAATTTGAATAGTTTATCTCTTCATTAATCAGAGCCTTTAAATTGTTGAATGAATCTTGATATATCCTTTTTAGATCATATAAAACATCCAAGTTATATCGACATGTTAGGCATATTAACCATGAATTGTTTTTCTTGTTAATCTGCAAGAACAGAATATTTAAAATATAGACAACTGTAGTTACATTATTTTTTTGCGATAAAAAGGAACAATTTAAACTTACATCATCATTGAAAACGCTGCGGATCTTTCGTAAAGGATTAAATACGCTCTTGTCCTTGCTAATGTCGAAGATACGGTTACTTTCCACTAATTCGTAGCACAGGAAGCAACATCGCATTGACGTTTCAACTTTTGGCTCCGGCACCTTGTGCGAGTTCCTATACCTTTGTACAAATTTAGTGCACTGATCTAATTCATACGCGCATTTGTAACATATCTTGTTCGATAGATCGATGCTCTCGTTAATCTAAGACAACAGAACAGGTTACAAATTTGAGATACAATTATTCTGAAATTGGCCAATTATCATTCTTAATTTTAAATCATCTTCCTTTCGTCGAATGAAAGAAAACAAAAACTTGAATCGTGATACACACACGTTCGAAATTTTTATCAACAAATGAACCAATATAGTCGGATGATTTAATAAAATCCAAGTGAATGCAATGAAAATGACACAACACGATAATATCAAGTTGTACAGTTATCCAAAAATATTCGAGTCTAATGAAATTTCTCTGAAAATTTGCGACGTAATAAATATAAATACAGAATTGCGAGTCGGCCAGGAGACCAAACTGAGTAAAGAACTTCATTCACTGTGTACATATTTTTATATACATACACACATAACGCATACACATTACGCACGTACGTTCCGCAAAATGTCGGTAAAACGAAATACGAGATGGATACTAGACGGACACGCTCCACGTTGTCTCTCTTTTTTTTTTTTTTGCAAAGAAAGTATTGCTTGGTCGGCTTGTCGAATAAAAATAAATCAAAGCTGCATGCAAGTCATATGGCCCGTCACGCAATCACTTGCAACCCCGCCATCCCTCGCGATATTCCGACTTCCGACCAGAACTTTGGAACTATTTGTTACGGCGTAGTAACGACCGTTCTCCCCCCTCTCTCACTCTCTCTCTCTCTTCCCCTTTGTTTCCAGTTTCGACGAGCGCAGATTGCGGGTCCCACTCATAGATGGCGCGACGCATCGCCCCGATGCACGCGTAATTGAGTTAATCATACACGAAATGCGTTTCGCAAAATTGAAAAGAAAATGATCCGAAGACGTCAATTTCCTTGATTGTATTTGAACGGGGGAAAAAAGACACGACGAACACGTTCGTTGCAGCAAGTCCCGGCACGCGAGTTTCGACAGTCTCAAGCCCGAATCCAACCTATAAACCGGTATGATTCTAACCTGAATTCGAAGCAGCAATCTCCCGATGGAAATCTTTCGATCGCAATCATCCCTCGCGTACCGAAATTCTAACGAGCATTTTTGTTTCTCGATAAAATCGCCCGGGACTTGACGCGCGATTTTCAGGACGGAAGCGTGCAATAATTTATGTAGGTTTGTTCCTCCCCACAGAGTTTCCTGCATTTCTCGAGTGTGAATAGAATTGGTTTTCCTATTTATTTCAGAATATCGACGTAAAAGTTGATGGTTGAGCATAAGTAGGTAAATATCGTTAAAAGAGGCGAATGAAGCGCGTACGTGGGACACAGATTCCAAGGATCGATCTCAATACGCGCGAATATTCGAGGGGTCGAATAACGTGAACAGTAAAACAGTTCTTCAAATCGGGGGGAAATCGGGGGGTGTCTTGCGCAGCGCTGTTGATTTACCGATCCTACCTTGGTGGACAAACACGTCCGAATCTGGTCGCCAAACGTGCTACGATTATCAGGAGTGACGTCCAGGAAGACACCCTCGTTGCTCGCACACACAAAGCAGTAGTGGTCAGGCATTGCGACGCGCGAGAGGGGGATACGTAATCAGGGTAGCATCACCTCGAGTCGCCGGTCAGGACGAGATATGATCCAACGCGATCGTAAGATTTCTCACTGTGCACTGTTCAATGGCGGTCCGCTGTTTTCGCTACTTGTGTTACTTCTTGCGTAGAGCAACGCGTGTGAATTCCTAAATTCCTACCTAATCTCACCGCGGTTGACTGTACCACACCACGAGTAGAGAATTGGCGGTAATCGTCTACGTTACGTGTGATGGAACATGGCGGACCGACGCCATCGATTATATGACTGTGCGATAAATCGAACGATATATCGAAGGTGCAGTCCTTTGATTCACTGCCCCTCTCGTTTTCTCCATTCTCGTTTCTTCCGAGACTTTCTGCTTTTTAACGGAGCTTGGGATATTTACAACGTTTCAAAACGTTCTCTCCGAGGAAAATTTTTACTTGAAATATATAGTAACATGTATTATAGTATATACAGTAAATTCTTCCTCGGAGAGGACATTTTGGAATGTAATCTTGCTAGAATTGATCGACATAGAAGTGATTAATTGACCTGCACAACGCTTTAGAAGAAATTGATAATTCAATGGCTACGTTCAGCAGAGAAAACAGCTTTGCAACTGTTGTAAAATTCTTCAATATGATTGGTCTTGCTCTTAGTTCCTCATTGGATCTAAATGTATAAACCAATCATATTCAAGAATTTTACAACAGTTGCAAAGCTGCTTTTTCTGCTGAACGCAGCCAATCGGTGAGATCGAACAGTCTCGCAATCTGCATTGCGCGATTCGATATATCGATTGTTTGAGATACGTACATACGTTATCTTTTGAATTTAAATTGAGTTTAAGCTCACTCAGTTCTAATCTGAATTCTGCTACGAATTATGTATTGTCTAAAATGAGTACGTGACCGACGTTAAACAGCGCGACGCTGTACTTTACAACGTAAATTGTGCCTATCTAAGGGAGATATAAAAACGAAAACGAAATTTATTTGAATAACAACGTAAAGTAACTATTGTACAAAGATATCTCGCATTCAATCGCTAACTGGACGACTCATTCATTTGTCATTAGCTGCGTTCAGCAGAAAAAACAACTTTACAATTATTGTAAGATTCTTTAAAGATTAGTTTATACATTTAGACCGATATTCATCCGTTCTTATTTCAAGACCATCTTTATAAGTAATATCTTAATATGCTAATATGGCTCTGTTAATACAGTCTTGTATATAAATAGAAGAACTGTGTGAATATCGGTCTCAAATCCAGTAGAGAAACTAAAGGCAAAAATCAATCATATTAAAGAATCACTGAGCGCTCACACTAATTAGTTTTCTCTGCTGTACGCAACCATTTATTTTACATTTTATCACGCTTATGTCACTTATCATCGAGACGATTGCGTTATTATGTGTTGTTCAATTAATTATATTTTTATATTGCAATGACCGCGTTCAACAGAATTATGCATTTATTTTGCAATTATTGAAAGTTTTCTTCACTAAGATAGGATTGTTTTTCTAGATGTGAAAGAATAATTTAATCTGCGCCAAATGCTAATTACTAAGCATTAACTTCTTCTGAACGCGGCGAATGTTTTATAGCTAAAATCCGTTTTAGACGACTTATAATTTGCGCCTAATTTCAAGACAGAATTCTATTTATACGAGATAAAATTTCGCCCTGAATTCTTACACGAGTTACAAACTGTATCTGAAATAGATTTGTTTTGAGACTTGTTTTGGCGTGAATAAACACGCAGTGCGGAATCGTGGCTTGAAACATCACAGTGCACGCCACGACGAAAGCCTGAGTGCGAATCACGTCTCGTCATGTCTTCAACATTCAGCTAGACACTTTTCGGATTCCCTGTGCGGTCTCGTTTGTAATCGACAAGTCCTCTATTCGATCCTTCGGTTCGCCAAACAGTAGCTTGAGAGTTTCTAATGCTGACGTGAATATACTCCTATAACGTAAAAAATTAATGCATCGAAAACAATTGTCAATTGTATTGTACTGATTTATCTTTAAAAAAATGACTAACAGCCCTGACAGCGTAAGCATTGTTATAAACATCGTAAGTTTTTTTTTATGTAAAGCCCATTCTACAATTGCATAAATGTGGTTGTAAGAATTGATCAATCAGATACAATTCTTACAGCTACAATTACTTACAACTACGTTTACGAAATTGTAGATTGGGGATTTTAAATGATTTTAAATATCTAATATAACTTTTTACATACAGTATAGTTTTAATAATGTAGTTGCAAAAAATGCGTACGTAATTGATTGTCACTTGATCTTTATAACAATTACACTGTCTTTATATTAGAGCCATGTTCGTATATTACTGCCAGTTGATTGTCAGTAAAACTTGACTGAAAATCTATAGGTAGTTCCCGTTACGTATATTATATTGTACTGACAACTGGCAGTAATATACGAACACAGCTTAGGTCGATGCAAAAGGAATTAAAATTAAATTAAAATTATTCGACTGGGCGAATTTTAATCTCCAATTTAATCAATTAGTTTAATTAATTTAAAGTTAATTCGCAATCGTCAATCTCCAATGCGTAGTGGGCTTTTGTTGTATACAAGACTCATGTTATGTATACAAGGATCAAGATGCAGAGACACTATAATTCGAATAAAAGGAACTCCATCGAGCATCTCGACAGCTGGGCCATCACCTGACGCTGTCCTTCATGTTCCCGTAGATTTCGCCGGGCGGCAGCTTCACGGAAGGTACCGTCTCCTCCACGAAGTCCAGTCCGACGCACATCGCGTTGTCGACGATCTTGAGCGGCGTTTCCAGAAGACTGGCGATGCTGCCGGTGACGGGGCTGGCGAACTCCAGGCCCGCGCGCATCCCGTTCTCTGCGTGGCCTAGTATCGTCGCGACCGACTCGTGGGAACCTCGCACGGCTTTGTACGCGCCGCAGAACGCCGCAGTCACCGTGGCGAACACCGGCAAACCCAGCAGACGACGTGTGCACATCATGCCACGAACGTCCGCGTCGCCGGAATTCGCGGGTGCGATGCTCGGCACGGTGGGATCGTGCGTGCCGCACATGACGCTCAATTGCTGCGGGACAAATGGCACGACAGGTGTGAAGGATCAGGTGTTGCATAGACAGAATTAACTCTAGAATAGTCACCTAGTTCTTTTTACATAAACGATTACTGTTACTAGTGTAACAGTATAGTTACACTCAAGATCAGTTAATAAATGTTAAAAGTAAATGTGTGTAAGCTGTAATATAAATGTAATATAAACTGACAAATAAACGTTTAAAATTTGATACGTTTCTTAAACATATTTAATAAATTTATAAAAACGTTTATAAAAAATTTATGACGTCTATTAAACGTTCTCTTACTATAGTTTAAAATACCATTTTTATGCGAGATATTTCAACGGTCTGATAAATTTATTTAATGTTTTTGTATACTCTGTAAAAAATGTTTTGGCTAAACGTTTTTTTTAAATGTAAGTTGTTTACTTGGACAAAGAAAACTACTGTGATTGATATTTATTTTCTTGCTGCTTGGAGAATAAGAATCACACCAGATGATTATTCCTGGGTTAAGTCTTATTACCTCAGAAACAGTTTACAATTCTCGTGTTATATTTCAAGATAAAATTATATATAATTACATATAATTATATATGTATATGTATATGTATATGTATAAGATTAAAAGTAGAATCCTATTTTAATGGTTGTGTATTTTAATATATATTTTGTACATATATATTATTCTGGTTTTTTAAATATTGTTTATTGTATTATTTTAGCAATCGACAATTAAATCAATTGAAATTTGATCAAAGTCATTTTAATATTTATTTTCACTGAAGTAAATTAACTTTAATCTCGGTTTAATTTACTCTTTAATTTTTACTTAGAACTAGAAAAATATACCATTATAAGTAACAAGAATAAATCAATTAAGAGAAATAATCTTATTTTCGATCACAAAGAGGATTCTGGTGCTTAATAATATTCATGTGTAAAAATATAAAAAGTAACCGAGAATAAAGTTAATCCATATTGATAGAAATAGACACAAGTCACGTGATTAATCCGAGCTCGAAATAGCTGTGACAATCGTCGATCTCGCGGTTTTTGTGATCGGTTCAAACATTGGATTTACTTAACTTCCGCTGTATATTTCGATGGCATTAAATAAGGTTTTTCATGTCTCGAATAATAAATGGACGTTAAAATTGCGCCATTCCGCATACGATCTCAGTGACGTCAACTTGGAAATTGTGACAACTCGCGGTCGGAGGTTGCAACTAACATGGTACTTTGATTAACATCGTAGTATTGACAATGTCTGTGGTGCTGCGGCGAATCGCGGAAAATTCTCCATCAGCGGGAATAACTTTCCGCAACATCGCACCGAACGTTAAAAGTAAACTAAAACGTCCGCAAGTCGTCGATAATGAAAATTGGAAAGACGAATTATTATTAAATAAACATCGCCGTGTGGAACGGTGACTGTAATCGATCTGAAAAGCTATCTCTATACGCACATGATATGCGATGCGCACGATAGCCGAGGGTCTCTCGCTGATCTCGGCCCGCGACGCCGACGTCTCGGAACCCGCCATCGCTCCGGCCGGACACCTTGAGTTCGACGCGGCCCGCGATGACGAAGGACGACACGGCCGAGAAAGGTCGAGGTCCGCGCGTCGTCCACGACTTCTAAATTTAACTGGTAGTAGACCGGCGATACACGAGGCAACCGTCTCCTCGTTACTCCGGGTACTCCGCGTCGCGTCGATCGGAGACGCAGTCCCTTCATGCGCTTCTCGATGCTTTTCATCGACCGCATCGCGTCAATGTTTGTGGCGGCAACGCGCGCGAAATACAAAGATTAAGGTAAAACATATTACACGTAAAAAGGTCTGTTCTTTGTGACCGAACTAGTGTTGTACTTAAAATGGAATAAATATATACATTTGAAATTTGACAAAAGCGATATAGAAAGTTTTAGTAGAGTCTATGAGCCATAGAGAACAAATTTAGACAACACGCAATGTTTAGAACATGTTTATGGTGTCTTTTAGATATTTTTTAGACACGTATATATATGTCCTAAGAAACATCTTTATGATGTCTTTATGGCGTCTTTCGTAGATACGCGACTGTTGTCTGGGGACATAAAGATCCGGAGAAAAGAAAGCGCGAATAAATATAGCTAGATGAACTAGCTTGTTTCGATGAAAGCACAGACATATTCTATTCTATATCTATGGATAAGGATGAACGACGCTGTAATTACACTGTTAGAAATGTTCTTAAATTTCATTAACTTTTAAGTTACATAATTGAATTTAATTTGAATTTAATTTCATGACATTACATTAAATTTAATGTATTTGTAACTAAAAAGTATATTTATGTACATGTACATAAAATTTAATGTATTTTTCATGAAAATTTATGAAATTTAATGTACACGTTCATTACATTTAAGTAACTACTGTAACTTAATTTTTAGTTAAATCATTACTTTTAATTTCGTTCATAACCACCAGCTTCATTTACATGTAAAGGAAGCTCGTGGTTACATTTCCAACAGTGTACGAATAAGGCCGAATTTACAATGCTCATTGTTTTGTAAATTGGCGCAGACAATTCTCGTGCCTGCACCGTGGTTTCGCGTGAGCGTTTTATTTTTTCTCAACACACAGTAATCACAGCACAAATTGTTAATTAAGCGTTTATTATAATTTCACAGTATATATTCATCACAATTTCGCATTAAGCGTTTTTTTTTATTACCCGTAACGATTATCTCTCTAACACATGTCTCGATATGGTACGATGATATGATCCAGAAATGGATCGCACTCGCGTGGCAACGCCTTGGGGCCGTAGCCCTGAGCCGACTCGTGGTTACGATTGAGGAAGACACCCTGAGCTCTCTTAGAGTTGCTCTCTTAGAGCAACGCCTAGGGAATGCCCCTTGACTTATGGAGGACCAGCAATAACGTCGCTGCCTCGAAAAGAGCGTTCTCGCAGACGGACCTTTCGTATCGACGTGTATCAGATCGTGAACTTCGAAAGACTGACTCTCGGTGATGATAAAAGAAGAAGAACGGGATCCTTGGTGACGGCGAAATTAAAAACACAAGCGCCGCGTTCCTCTATTTTTTCCGTCGTTAACTCGCTCGCATTGATGTGCGTGTATGTGAATATGTGTGTGTGTATGTGTCGATGCGAGAACCGTCTCTTTTCTTTTTCGCGTGTGTGATGCATCACTTTTCTAGTCTACGCATAACACTCATTATATCTACGTTCGTTCGTAAATCTATGAATCTGAACGTTCGTTTATGGTCGTTTGTCCTCGCTATAGCTTGATCTATGCACGGCCTGACCTATACTACTGTGACTCAAAATGGGTCTGACCATCAATTATAAATGATCTGAACTACAATAGTTTTGAATGAAGCCTAACTTAAAACGATCAAGTATTTACAGTAAGAGATCTATTTGGAGTATAGGTTTTATTCTAAATTTAGGGTATAAACGTAGTTATTAACGCGACAACTCTTTCCTCCAAGCATTAAACAACAAATTAAACACTGGACTCGTAAACAACGATTTGTACGATCGACTTCTTGGGTGGCGGCGCCGTCCCGGATACTGCGATGTCGCGCAATACCGCCTCCACTGCTTCTTCCCAGTCCTGGTCCTTTGTGATGCTCCGGTCTATGGACGCGGACCACTTTAGTCGCGGCATAGATACGACCGTCAGTACTTTTCTAAAATTGGCGTTTCATTGTTAATCTTCTTCTAACGATTTCTTAGAAAGTATCAACAAGGAAAATCATTTATTAAAATTTCTCTGTAGCTAATTGTAGAAGGAATAATGAAGAGAGATATATACCGTATATCAGAGTGTAGCGCCGACATATCGCCGCCTGCTTGTTCGCCTAATTTCCTGAGAGCCTCAGCCAATGGACCGCTCAGTCTTTGCAGCCTCCTCCAGGACTGAGCATACTGTCGTCTGACGAGCTCGATGATGGTGCTAGTCAGCGCCAAGCCGACCAAGATATATAAAGTGCACAATAAAGTGTACTTCGGCTTCTCTGAATGAGATTAACAAACAATATGTAAAAATAACTATATTAAATTTTGCGCAAATAGATATTAACCTACTTTCATTGAGATTCAAGATTTTGGAGATACAAGAGATTTTTTATTTTTTACTTACTTGGGACGAGATCGCCAAAACCTATGGTGGTCATGGTTACGAAACAGAAGTAAAATCCATCAAAAAAATCCCAATCATTCTCCCACAGCATAAACATTCCAGCTCCGCAGGCGAGATAAAGGAAGAGTAGCATAATGGCGGCACAAGCACCTACAAAAGAGATCATCAAACTAGAAATCGACTAAATTAATTAAAAATGTATTTGTATGTATTTAAAATTTACATATAAATATTATTATTATTAAGTATCAAGATCTCTATAACTTCAACCGTATTTGACTTCTTTATTTTATCTAAATCAATTACGATAATTAAACTCACCTAGTGACCGTCGACCGGTCACATTCGTCGGGATGAATGAAAGCTTCGTGAGAAACGGAAGTTTCGACTTCACCATCAATCCCATGTGCACTACCGCGTTTGCAAATAGTTTTCCCCAGTCAGCGATCACTATCAAAGTGAGAGGTATACCGACAAAAGCGAAAAAGATGCAGAAAATTTTTCCCCAGTTGGTCGAGGGCACAACATTGCCATATCCTATCATGCAAATGCAAATCATCGTAAAGTAAACTAATACCCGTTTCTATCAATGTAGATTAACTTTAATTTTGGTTCAACTTACTCTTCATCTTGTTCAGTTCTAAAAATTATAAGAATAAATTGAACCAAAATTAAAATTAAACAACATTGGTTAAAATAAATTGATATCTTCTTACATAAATCTCATATTCGCTAATTAATTTAATACTAAAAGACATCAGTAATTAATTCTATTTATTTAGTTTAAATATTAAAAGCATTGTTGTTTAGTATTCCAAAGTAATTAATTACTATCTTTAATATTAAATTGGTCAGTATTAGATTTTTATACAAAAGCAACAAAATGTAGTCGAAGTTTTCAACTTTATCTAATTTTAGGGATGACGGAATTTTAGTACAAGATGATTTTTTCTTTGCGAGAAAGAAAAAATAATTCCATATTATTGATTCCATATATTATAATAAATTCTTCAATAAAATCTTTGATAATAATTAAGGGTAGATACCGATTGTCGTGAGGACCGTGCTGGCGAAGAAAATCGCCTGGAAAACGTTCCATCTCTCCGTCACAATGGGTGGTAGTTCCGATTCAGAAAAATCAGGACGATTAATGATATCTGTCACGAAGCTGATCAGGAGACCCGCCTCCGCTGCTTCCTGAACTGCTTCTTCATAGATGCGCAATTTCACGCTTACCTGGAAGATACCGAGTGTCGTGACGGAATATTCATATTTCGATGTCGTTAATTGCTCACCAAGGTATGCAAATTGAAAACGTCTGTGCTGTTGGAAACTGTCTCCACAAAGCGATATCGTTGCATACGTAATCTTGCGCGCAAACGCTCAAGCCGTCTGAGCTCCGCTGGAAGTTCGATCTGCCGGAAAACCTGCAGACGTATTTAAAATAAAAAATTTTACGAAACAATTTTGATATATAAATCATATCTTGAATCACATAAATCTGAATTGCTTAACATAACAATTATACTGAATGATCAACTTGTTTCTAAATGTATAAGTCAATAATAATTAAATAAAACTGTATCCTAAAGGAAGTTAAATAGCGTATTGCGTAAAATGATTAAATAAGACCATATTTTAAAAAGTGTTGAATGGTATATTTTCTATTTTACATTATTATTTAGTACTATTGTGTCATTCAAAATTTTAAATTAAACAGTACTTACTTTTTATAAGTGTTTCAAAAATTTCGCTGATCATTATGGGAGATTAACGTATTAAGAGGCCGATTCTATAACTCTTAACGACAGTCGTTGATGTCACTGCGCAGCTTTTTTACTCTACATAATATCTGCGCAATGACATCAACGACTGTCGTTAAGAGTTACAGAATCGGCCCCTAAATTAAAGATGTTATAGATGCACATTAAATCATCTTCCTTTATAGCGATATCGCGTTAATGATTGATTGAAGTCAATAATAAATCGATAAAGTTTTTAAACCGTATAAAGTATTGCTCTCGAGTCTCGAGTGCTATTTCAGGCTAATGAGAATAAACCAATCGATATGTGCGTATTTATCGAGCAAATGCACATCCATCTGCACTGTTTACAAGGATCGTTGATTTACTGACATGCGTATATCGTTATCAAAACGTGCTGGAAGTAACTCCTGATTTGTTGGAGATTATACAACATAAAATATTCGTTTCTTTTTAAGAAATAGCAATGCTAGAAATATTATTTTCGATTGTTATTGGAAACGAATCATTTCGAAGAAAGCGTTGATTTTTTTATTAATCATTTCAACACTTACCCCATGAATAATTAATTTTTTAATTAATATTTGTTAATAGGGAGTTTTTGCAATAACGTGAATTCAGATACGGTGAATGCTAAAGCCATGTTATCTTTTTCTTAATTAGTTGTTAAGAAGAAGATAACCTAACCTTAACGTTCACCGTATCTGGATAAACGGTATTGCAAAAACTCCCTAATTTTACATGATATGTATGTTATAATTATCGTCTTTTGAGCCATTCATATAGAGATGAGAAATTGGCGGATGTAAATGAATCGAGTTCATTGAGAAACAATATTGTTCAGGAAATACATTATTTCCGCAGCCGTTTTATGGCACACTTAAAAAATCATGATTATCAAGAATTTCAACGCACAGATATTTTTACCGAACTTCATTGAAGGCGTCAGTAGTAATATATTTCCTACCAAAACCGCGCGATTGGTTCGCCGCTAAAAATAAAGGTACGATTCGGCGGGCTATAAGTCCGTTCGTTATTGTACAGAATGTAAATATTTATGGAACATCGAATACATTTAACTCCACGCTAGAAATCTCGATATTTCTTAAACGAAAATCCGTGCATACAACTAGTGGACTTTGTAGATTCGAGATATTGTCGGCGGCATCTTGCTCTCTTCTTCGATCGTTTTGTCGCGTGTTTTATGTAATCCGACAAGTTTTCCCCAAAATTGAAATTGAACGGAAATCGTTGATTTGCGTGCCCGCAATCGCGATCAATCGGACGCGAATAGACGAGGAATTCGGAAAGCGAAAAATAAACGGATTGTTCACGCGGTTATTTTGATTCTCTTTAAATCCATTTGTTACAGAAAAGACATATCCGATATCCAGTAAATACCAACTAAAAGTAATATAATTATAATATAATTATAATTTTCTATTCAACAATGTAACTGTGTTAATGTTGTATCACAGTTATATTATTGGTTATATTAATTATAACTAATAATTACACATAAAGAATGGTTTTGCTGAAATATCTAAAAAAAATGTTGCTAAAAATATATAGATCTGAAAATAAATTTTGTTGAGTTACCAAAATAATTATGTAAGATACTCAAACTGATCGCTAGAATATTAAAATCTTTTTTGCAGCTTTGCTCATCATGTTGAAATTTTCTACACAATATTTCGATCAATAAATTATTTTCAGATCTGTATGTAGCTAAATTTTTAGATATTTCAATAAAACCATTCTTTCTGCGTATGTTTATTAGTTAGCGTTTGATAGGTAAAATGAATCTTCACTTTTATGAATGATTATCAACTTTAAGGAAAAGCTACTTCGTAGCCAACAAGATCACCATTGAATCTTATTTATTATGTCCTATCTTAAATCTTATGCTGCAAATCGTTCCAAAATCTCGGACAGAGAAAGAATTAATTAATATCGCGTCAATCAAATGGTTAAATTGTTTAAATTTGATTTATTAATTCTTTCTCCATCCGAGATTTCGGTGCGATTTTAGTATTATGAGTTTGATATTTAAGGCTTTATTATCAAGAAAGCAAACTTCAATAGTGCTCAAGATAATATCGTCTTCATCTCAAGACTCACCAGCCCGCCGATCGCGGTATAAAGCATTAGGGTGATCAGCAGCCCCACGTGACCGCCGATCGACTTAATTTTCCGTAGCGTTTCTTTCTTGATGAATTGTTTGGTGTTCTCGCTATTCGTCGCGGTGCCGATTTCGACAGATGAATTGTACGTATTACTGTTGGTCATCACGCTCGTGTTTTTCACGAGAGACGTAGGCGCGCACCGACCACTCGGAGAAGACTGATCGGTATGCTTCGCTTCGTGATGTCTCCCCCAGTAAAGCAAGGTTTTTTGAACCATCCCGAGTAGCATAATTCATTGACGAGACATTGGTTTATAAACATTGGCATGTATAGGAAATATGTTGGGCCAATATTGCGCCAATAAATTAATTATGCTGTATTAGGGTTGTTGCATCTCAAACTATGTGCGATATTAAATTGCAGCAGAAAATGATGTACGTGATAATAATACATGCATAAACTTGCAGCGTTCTGAAGAGTAGAAGAATGAAAAGCGGAAGAAATGGAGAGACGATGTCTAATATTCAATATCTAGAATGTAATTATAAAAAATTAAACGTATTACCTGCGTTCAAGATCGAAGTATTTTAAATTATTATATATAATATATGTATATATATTTTAATTACAAAGATCGTACATTACTTTAAATATATACATATAATATATATACATATACATTTAATATATATAATATATTTGATATATATATATAAAAGATCTAATTATTAACTATAACATAATGTATATAATTTCGTAATTCTCAAAAATTAAAATATGCATCATACTGATCCTAAATACTTTAAATTATTTCGTTAATAAGTATATTATTTTAGCTTTATATTTAATCCTTAATTTATATATAATTGTGAAAGAGAAGAAATGGAAGATCGACAATTAATATCCGGAAAACTAATTTTGGTATACAGCACAGATCCTAAAATTTCTCTCATCAATTGAATTTATTATTTAAAATGTAGACTACGCGACTAATAAACGATTAATAATTTTCATACGTTCTGTAGGTGCGAAAATCATTGAAAAAGTATATATTTCGTTCTTCCGTCGCGGATTTCATCGCATCTCTCGCGACATTGTGACGAGGATGCAAATGTAATATAAAGAAAATACTATGCAAATGTCATAATGTAATGCAAATGTTATTTTATTGTTAAAAATTCTGAATAGGTTTATTTTTGGTTATGTTTTATTTTTTGTTTTTATTATTTTGCGTGCTTGTGTTCATTTATATCTAGATCGAGTGTTTAATCTTGTTTAATCGTCTTACTGGCCGACTTGTAACAGCAATTCTGCTGATATCTTGCCATTTGTTATGTATAAATTTTATGCGTTACAATAAAGTATATGATGATATGATATGATATTTTGGAGTATTTAAGTTTTTAGATACTCATTCGGAGCACGAGTCTAGCACATGCGCGGTGCATCTCGACTTCATATCGAAGTACCGAACTGTGCCGGTTGAGCGCCACTGTGCAATGCGCAACGCGTCTAGCGGCAATGACGGGATAGCCAAATGCTGGATTCACACTGCATCCGATTTGTGTCGTACGATGCTCTGCAACCAATCAAAAAACAGGATTCCGATGATACGAAGCAAAATCCATCGGAATCTTGTTTTCCGATTGGTTGCAGAGCATCGTACGACACAAATCGGATGCAGTGTGAATCCAGCAAAAGCATATACTACGTTTACAGAGCACGCTTTACGCCGAAGTTATAACATCGATGTTATGAAGGCTGCGGTCCACTTGATGCTACAAACGCTTCGAAGCGTTCTTTGATCAGTTAATTCGTAAAATTCTTTGTTCTGATTGGTCGCTCAAACGCTTCGAAGCGTTTGTAGCGTCAAGTGGATCACAGCCGAAACTGGCCAATTATAGCTGTTACTCTGAAGAATGGAATGACTGTGATTGGTCAGTTTCATGACATCGCGATGTTATAACTTCGGCGTAAGGCGTCGTCTACAATACACGGAGTAAGAAGTAAGAGTAAGAAATTGACCAATCACAGTCGATTATTCTTCTCACATTCGACTGTGATTGGTCAATTTTTTACTCTAAAGCCGGGAGCACATAGAAAAACGTACGTCCGTAAGACGTAATCAGTAAGGAAATCGTAACATTGGATTCGCTACTGGCCTTACGGTTTCTGCTGTGATTGGTCAATTCACTAACTGCTTGCGTGTTACGGCCTTACGTTCTTGTAAGGCCCGTCTACAATATACGGAGTAAGAAGTAAGAATAAGAAATTGACCAATCACAGTCGAATGTGAGAAGAATAATCGACTGTGATTGGAATTTCTTACTCTTACTTCTTACTCCGTGTATTGTAGACGGGCCTGTATGTGTCATGGGCTTTACTTCTTACTCCGTGTATTGTAGACGGGCCTTTAAGCGTGCCGTGTAAACGTAGTAATAGAGAATGGACTGTGCGATCCGTATCTAATAGCGTTTTCGATTGGGCAAAAGTTAGTGCGCACCAGTGCGCACTCAGTTCACACCAACACTGGACGAGTTCCATGGGTTGCACTGAATAGT